TAAGTGTCAGTTATTTTAGTAATTTGGGTTATAACATCTAAGATTCCGGCTATGTAAACAACAGATATGTAAGATCTCAAAACTGCTGCAAACAGCTTGCTGTTCACATTGACCTAAAATATAATTCAAAAATGTGACAGGGCCTGACATCTCAATCCTAACACAATTTTGCTTGAAGGCAAAAGACTCTAGCTAGTTAGCTGCCCAGCTAGCTATATAGCAATTAGGCTGCCCAGCAAGCTATCTAGCTAGTTAGCTGCCCAGCTAGCCATCTAGCTAGTTAGCTGCCCAGCTAACTATCTAGCTAGTAAGCTGCCCAGCTAGCCATCTAGCTAGCAGGCTGCCCAGCAAGCTATCTAGCTAGTTAGCTGCCCAGCTAGCCATCTAGCTAGTTAGCTGCCCAGCTAACTATCTAGCTAGTAAGCTGCCCAGCAAGCTATCTTGCAAGTTAGCTGCCCAGCTAGCCTTCTAGCAAGTTAGTTGCCCACCTGGCTACTAGCTATCCAGCTAGTTATATTACCAGATGATTAATTATTCAGCTAGTTTGCTATCTCTCTAGTTAAGTTTTTCAGCTTAGGATTTCCTAGGCAATAACGGAATGTCTTATAAGTTGGGAACTTGGGAATGAGAACTAGGTGTTCCAAAAGACATTATCCGACCGCTCCAAATTATTCGACACTCCCATAACTATCCAGGGATCTGTTCCAGTCGTCATTTTTTGCAAGCGCTTTTTCCCCCATCACTCATGTGAAAATTCAACAGATGAATTTCTTGCTCTTCTGTTTTTGCAAATGAAATACGCTGTACCCAGGTGCATTCCTTGACCAACTTTGATGACTTAATGGCGGCAATTTTGTCCATCTACATCGACGTCAGTGTCGTCTTGTCAAGGTAAAACAACCTTAATGAAAGGCGTACTAACTCGTATGATGTTTCTAATTTTTACTTTCAAATTAAATGACAAAGACTGCCCATGGTGGATTTAATCAAGAATCGAAAGGAATTAGAAAATACTTGATTGTAAATAACTGTACTCACTGACTAGGGGGAAGTGGTATCCCTGATGTCTGTTCTCTGTACTTCCCCTCATATTTCTGATTCCTGTTGTTAACTGTTTTCCCTGTTTGGCTTTCCTGTAGAGATAGTCCAGACACGGCAGAAGCTGCAGGCAGACTCACTTTATCACAGATCCTTCTTCTCATTGGTCCATCACCAGTCCAACAACTCAATCTTCTCCTTCAAGTCACTCAGCCCAGCTCTCAAGATTGCCACTTTATGATACCAATATACAGGCATGTAGTCCTGGGGCTTATAGATGATACAGACGACTGGTGGCTCCTCTTCCGTTTTCTATTCTAACCCACACCCCTATTTCCAACTCCCCCGCCTCAATCCTTTCCAACCCCAACACCCCCGTTCCCCTCTTTTTCCAGGAATCTTACATAATCATACAAAATCCAGCATTCTGTTGGAACCCAATGATACATTCTTTGTACTTTACTTTCAAGAGGCATCAATCCCTATGTAAATGGTTAACATCAAGTTCCTTGATCCTGGAAAAGACTAGAAGAGTTTGATGGATTTTGCAGGATTTTAAAGGGTAACAGCCCATTTCTTTGCACTCCTTTAATTGAATTTGAAGGCAACAGCATGGATCACACACCACTTTTACCCTTTCTTGTCTTTCTCTTTAGACACATGCTGAGTTCCAAGCCAAGTGTAATGACTAACGAAGCCTTCATCAAGTACATCTGTGCCATCCGATTCAGTCAGCAGATTCTCATGAATCAGAAGGAGCAAGCCGTGTTAGACGTCCTGCAGCATATCATGGGTGTTAGTTGACCTTGTCTTGGTTGTATGTGTTGTATTCACAAACAGTGAAAACACATCAATAGATTATTCTGAATGTTGGTCCTTTAAAAAGTATCAACTCAGCCTGCTGTTCACAATCAGTTGTTGGGAGAGGATTAACCAGCCACTGGGTATTTTATTAATATCATGCATCTATGATGATACTATTTCCTAATGTAGGTCAGATGGTATTACTGCAGTGACATTGGATAAACCAACAGACCATAACATGAGAAGAGGTGTCATTGTGCGTACATTATGTTTCATCATCTCCTCGCAACTTATTTTACTTTTTCTTATAATAAAATTTGCACAACTTGTTGAACAAAGTGTACAGGTTGAAACTTAGAGCCGTTTTGGTTTTTTTTTGCCTTTGAAATATGCAGATTGCCATGACAGCAGAGCCGTCTATAGAATTCCTCCAGTGGCTGTACAGCACAGCCCCTGATGCTTACAGTAGCTTGCCAGATTCTGTCAAGAGTACCACTTCCTTACTGGTCAAATATCTGACTGGGGAAGCATCCAGAGACTATCTGGACAGACTGCTGGATGTAAGTAGTGCCCTCTAGGGCTTGCTTGATATCCATGTTGAGACCCATGCTGGCATTGAGTTTGTGCTTACTGGCTTTAACAGTTGCTGATAATGGAGAAATGGTCAAGTTTTCCAATGAAGTAGTCATAAAACACAGTGTTGATAAATCTGTATCAGTTTGATCACTTTAGGGTTATACTGTGTGATAAATTGCAAAGGAGATAATTTTCACACGAGTCAAAGGTCGTCATAGTTTTCAGTGTTACTAATGGCTCTGTGCCTGACCACAAGAGGCTGTGCTTATCCAAATCACATGAGCCATTGAAGGGTACTTTCATGTAAGTATGGTTTACGTGCATCCAAATCATCAGTCAACCAATACTGATCACCAATTTTCAACTGAATGTGCACAAATCTGAAAAGTAATCACATGAAAGAAATTCTTCTGAATGTGGACACAAAGCAGAAATGAAGTTCTAAGATGCAAATGCTTCTTGCATTACTGGTGTCAGAACATGGTTGCACAGGAAGCTTTGTCTTGATCGAGAGACCAAAGAGGCAAGGGCTGTCTCTAAATCACTTGGCTATGGCTAGAGAGTGACACATGGATAAGTGGCATCTATAGGAGATGCATGAAGCCGCTAGCTTGTAGCTTCCATGGGGAGTGTCTTTTTTCAAGCCACGGCCAATTAATGTGGACAAGGCTGACATTGTACCTATTCATGGAATCATTTCAGATTGTCTGTGATGAAGAGATTGAAAGCCAGACACTGTCCTACAAAGACAGCCAAAGTGAGCCCCGTCTGTCAAGTATCAACAGCCAAGACAACCAGGCAGAGATATCAGAGACAGAAGGATTGTTCTTTACTGACACCAGTAGGGATGAAGACCTGGCAAGACAAGTTGATGTGAGTTGACTCTTGCATTGCAGTTTACCCATCAGTCTGAACCATTTGAAGACTAATTCTTCCAGTACTTTCCGTTGTGTCTACTATATAATAGGTTATCGCTAAAATGGTAGTCATAAGACTTGAAAAGGAGCATCGAGGCATATTGTCTGCAAGCCTTCATGCTTCAAAAACGAAACACATTCTGATTTGGTAAATTTCACCACAAATATGTCACAAGGCCAAACGCATAGTGCAATTTGCTTTTTTGTTTGGCATGAACTGGATAAGAAGACTACTGAGGAATGCAGTTTAAAGATCATTAACTTCGAACTTCAGTAAGGCAGTAGTAGTGCGAGTCCATCGGATTCGATGACTACATTGCCTCAAGTCTAGCACTATCTCTGGACGCCTCTCTCTTGCCTGGCATGAGCACGCTGATGGCTTCGTAAGCCCGTAAGTGACTGCCATCTCCTGCGACAGATGGGTAGTTGGCAGAAGGGGGAACAGCACGACGCCGAGCACGTTTGGCACAGGCTGCTGCTTCATAGTTCTCAGTAAATATCTGTTGACCCTGTCGACACAGGGACCGGAACTGTGTCGTATCCTTGGCAGCAGCCTCTAGAATCTCGGGTGGGATTCCAAACCGCTTCAGGGCGGCTTTTGTGTATCTTTGTAGCGCTTCTTTTGGCCACCGACCGAGCGTTGACCATTGGATAGCTCACCATACAGAACTTGACGTGGTAGTCTAGCCGGGCTCATCCGAATTGTGTGGCCAACCCAGCGGAGCTGGCGGTGCAGTATTATAGGTTCCAATGGCTGCACATCAAGACAGGAGCGTACTACTGTATTAGAGATGCGCTACCACCACTTCACTCCCGAGGGCATGGAGCTGGAAGCGATATGGGGTCAAAGATTCGCAGCCATAAAGAAGAATTGACTTACACACATTGTTGAAAACAGTTATCTTGGTGCGTAGTGCAAGATCATGACTAAAGAAGACACAGGGGGCCAAACGCAGCTGCGGCTCTGCCAATCCTATGGTTGATCTCGACGGTCAGGTCAAGCCTGTTAGAGAGCTCTGAGCCAAGGTAGGTGAAGGAGTCAGAATTTCTCAGGTCTCCGCCATTAACTCGTAGCACTGTTTGCTCACTGTCACTGTTCACGAGTTGCTGAAGCACCTCAGTCTTGTTAGTATTGATGATAAGGCCAGCTCGGGAGCACACTGACAAAAGCACATCCAGTGTATGCTGGAGGCCTGCAGAGGTGTGGCTCACGAGCACAGCATTATCGGCGTACTGAAGATCGAGTACACAGGTTTGCTTTGTGCGTGTGCAAGCCTGTAGACGCCGAAGATTAAACAGGCTGCCGTCTTAACGTTAATTTATTGGAACACCTATGTTAGTTGTGCCAGTTACTTGGCTGTAGACCAGGCGCATGATAGAGAACAGGAACAGGTTGAATAGCACAGGGTCCAGGATACATCCTTGTTTGACTCCCACAGCGACTGGGAAAGATTCTGTTGCGTTGTAGGGCAAAGTCATGAGCACAATTCTTTTCGTTGATCAGCCTCTTGATGGTCACATTATTTTCGTTAAACCAGTCCCTTTGCTTAGGTCTGCGGATGCCACAGACATTTCTCTGCTGACGTGATCAGCACTTTGCCGACAGAAGCCCAACGATCGTCAAGCGTCTCTTCCACAATATTCGCAAGCTGTACAGTATCAGCATAGTCTTGTTGAGTGACAGTCTCCTTCAATTTGCCCACGTTGACCTTCGGTGTAGGAGAGCTTTTACGCAGTGGAGGCCGTAACTGCAGCCGCAAGACAGAGAGCACAAGTCTATGATCAGTGGAAGCTTCGTCACCACGCATTATACGAGTGACCATTACCAGCGGACGATTACGCTGCCTAACGCGAATGTAGTCGATTAGGTGCCAATGGCGAGAACAAGGGTGCATCCATGAAGTTTTATATTTGGTTGCAAGTTGGAAATTAGCGTTGGTGGTATGTAAGTCATGCTCTGCGCACAAAGTTAGGCGACGTAGACCGTTGGAGTTTAGCTTTCCTAAGTCGTGAGTCCCGAGGACACCTTCCCAGGCTTCACGGTCCTTGCTAACTCATGCATTAAAATCTCCAACGACCACCAGGATATCTTGTGGTAGAATTTGGCGCAGTTAGTCGTGAAGTTGCTGGTAAAATTCGTCTTTCTGCACTTCCTCGGAGGCACGCGTAGGGGCATAGGCACTCATTAGAGTCAAGTGATTGCCCTTGGGAAGAGGAATTCTCCATGTCATTAGCCTGGGGGAAATACCGACAGGAGACACTGGAGCGCTGGTGAGCAGCGGGGAATGTACTGCGAACCCCACACCATGTTGGGTGGGGCCACCGTCGAGGTAGCTGTACCAAAAGAAGGTGTACCCTGACGTGGTTCCAACTATCCTTCTCCATGAAACCGTGTTTCGCTAAGGGCTGCAACATCGATGTTACAGCACTGTAGCTCAGCTGCAACGAGCGCCATTCGTCTCCCAGGTCAGGTAGGTCTATCCAAAAAGGTTCTGACATTCCATGATGCCAGACGAAGTGTATTTGATTTCATTTCCTTTTTCTTTTGACCGCATGTAAGGAGACACTGGGTGGGCGCGGTAACCCACCCCAGCAGAAGTTTGAGCAGACAATGTTTAGGCCAATTTTTCCAGGCCCTTCCTCGGATTGAGGGAGGCAATGCAGACCCTAAAGAGGGCTGCCTCGTCACACAGGTAGTTACTGCTGGCTGCTGCTGCTCACCCCAACAAACCAACGACCATCATCCTGAGTGGCCCGCATGTAGAGGGATGACTAGGGGCCTCCAGTCCGTCCAAGACCTGGTCCCAACGCCCGCCACTCCATCGCTACAGGACTTGAAGAATTATAGCAGTTCACCAGAGAGGTACCAATTTTGAGGCGCTGGCTGCACTTGTGACGTTTAAGGTGAAAAAGAGGCGCCGGCCCACCATCTTGACCAGCCCCGCAAAAACCCAGTGGCAAAGCAAGAGCAAGGACGACCGGAAGGGAGGCTAGCTGCAGAATCCTGCTGAAGACCCATGTCTGTTTGGGTGCGCCTAAGCGCGGATCTAGCGCATGGTTTGATTTTGGAGTGCCTTCACCTAGCCTTAACTCATCCAAGAGTGAAACCCTACAAGGCAGTATTTAAGGAGGGCAATTTAGCCCATGGGGCAGTGGATGGTGTGGCGCCAGGGCGTATCCACTCACCAGTGGGCCTGCGCACCACACATCTGGGTCCCACTGCTGCTCCGGGATCCCTTGCAGACTCAGCTTGGGTCGCACGATGTCCAGTTACCATGTGTTGCCACGAGGAGGCACTGCAAGAGTCTTGGTGGTGGAGAGGCGATTTACTGGCAGGGGAGACTTACGCATTCAGCTCCCTTTTCGCCCCTAGATGGAGCTAGCCAGCGGCAGCAGGAGACGGTCGAGAGCGGGGTGTGCAATGCCAACTACAACTACACTACTGCACTAGACGCATCACACACACCCTGTGACGACGCCACTAACAGTAAGGCATTTCTATTGTAATCTCATTGTTATCATTTACCAGCAATGTCAAATCTTACAAAAACTACTTTTTGTCTCTGTTATCCAGTCTGATTCAGAGTTGGTGGATGCATTGCACAGCCGGCTGGATGCACTCATCGAAGGCATCGACCAAGAAGTTAGTAGTCTTGTTTCAAGGCTAATATTTCAGGTTTTTACACTCAGGCTTTTATGTTACCATTCATAGAAAAGGAGCTAATAGTGTGTTCCAACATGCCTGCATAACTGTTTAAAACTTCACTCGAGGAATTATGCAAATTCCCATTCAATCCTGTTACACCTTAACCTGGCCTATTGGGAAATTTTGTTTGTTCATATGGCAGAATCAGGGCAAAAATCTGTCATTTTGAGGCCATATAAACTGAAACAGGCATGAACCCGTATTTGTATTCCTCATTTATTATTTACTTATATCAATTTCTTTGATACAGAGGGCAGATAAATTTACCTCTTTTGCGCTGCCAAATTTAAAGTGTATTGAGATGTATTGATGCATTTTTTTATTGTCTTAATAGGAAAATAGTGAGGATGATGACAACTTTGTTCAAGTTGGGAAGCCGTCAAATGTCAAAGTTCAAAGTGAGAAAAATGGCATTGCAGCGCTGATGTCACTTGACAGCGACAATCAAAGTGATTATGAGGAAGTAGACATGGACACTAGTGGCACGGTCACCTCTGAGCAAAATGCCCCTGAAGCTTTGAGCTTTGAAGAACAAAGGTACAAGCTGCAGATGAAAGCACAGAAAAAGGTGATTGATGTTAGTGATGCATCGCAGAATGAAGAAGGAGGTACTCCAAGGATGCGTGGTAAATCCAGAAACCAGAAGCCCCTGTCGCTGAGTTCAAGGAGGGATGAAGAGGAGGTCCTTGTCATACCAGAGACGCAAGATAACCGGCCAGAAAGGGACTCTGATAGGGAGAGCTTTGCCACTGCCAAAGATAACTTGGATTCAACAAGGGAGTCTGTCATCATTGATGTAGATGAGGAAATCACATTCAGAGTCAAGGCTGCACATCAGAGAAGCCATAAGGATGGAGACCCCCAAGCAGAGGATGTGGAAAAGCAAAATAAAGACTCAGTCGTTAATTTAGAGGATGAAGAACAAGTGAGAGACACTTCAAGTCCATCTTCTTACAAGCCTTCTCGAACGAAAGCCAAGTCTAGGCATCTCCAGAGTTCACAAGAGACTGTCGGGAAACCCAACAAGAAGCAGGAGCAAGCATCAGATGAGATGAGTGGAAGTACCCAACGCATGAGCCTGAGGTCGGTGAGTGCCGGCCACAATCAATCTAGCCTCCTGAGGTTCTTCTCTCCTGTCAGCCGAAACATTGACGAGAGCAACTCCCAGCCAGATCAGAATCCCGAGTCTGGAAAGATTTCCCAGTTGGACAGAGTAGAGATAGTCCCTGATTCCTACAGCTCATTTGACGAAGAAATAGAGAAGTATGACCAGAGAAGAAAGATTCGTGCCTCCCAACGGTTTAAGAACTTGAAGTCACTTCAAAGAATCAGGGCCAACTCCAAACAGGAGGAATCTCCAGGTATCTCACAACTTCCTGAAGGGATAAATAGCACCCCAGCTCCAACAAAACAAAACAGGCTGTCTAGATCAGGGAGAAAAATGGGCAGTACAAGGAAGCAGGTGATTTACTCCAGCAACAGTGGTGAAGAACCTGCTATTCTTGATTCTCCAATCCTCAGACCATCCCAAACTTGTGAGCCGAGGTCGCAGGCTTCTGACCAGAAGAGCCCAGCTGTGGAAGACGTGGTCTCAGAAGGCATCAGACGTATCTGGGAGGAATGTACGACTGCATCCTCAGATCTTCCGACATCCGTAGTTACCAAGTCTGCATCCAAGAGGAAACCACCTAAGCGAAAATCGCTGACTATCACAGGGGGTATCAAAAGCAAAAGCTTGGCAGTCAGCACACCACGACAGCCCACCAAGCAAGCCGAAGGCCCCACCCCTGCAGAGAAGACAGTTTCAGAGTCAGCTGAGAAGCCGCAGGGCGTGTCTCCCCTGAGCCCGTCCAAAGTCAAGAGGGTGGCGACCTTTGGCGACACGTACCGCCTCCTTGCTGGCATCTCAGCAGACAGCCAGTCGGACCCTTGTTCTCTGCCCGCCTCCCAGTCTCAAAAGACTTCCCCTAAGAGAGCACGTCTTCAACCCAAAGCTCTCAAAATGATGTTTGACAAGGACACTCCAAGCAATCAGAAGAGAAGTGCCAAGACACAGACGGCAGATTTCCAAGAAATCTCAGCATCCTCCCAGGTCAGACTGTACTTTCATCTTAGTTTTTTTTACCTCACATTTTCCAATTTTTTTTTCTAAGCGACTGAACATTCAGTGTACCAATTCCAAAACTCAAACTTCAGTTCATAATGGTTCAATTCTGTACTCGTCATGAAATCATCCTTGGCGGGATGTTTTTACATCATCCACGGGATATACTTGGAAAGAAAACTTAAGCTAGGAAATACATCCACCTTAAAAAGTGGGGAGACCATCCAAAATATATACATGTACATTGTTTTGTGTTTAGCAGTGAAAAATTCGAGATAGTTATGTTTTTTTACAGTTTAATGTGTGTGGAGAGGACACAGTATGTAAAGGATCTTAGAAACGAGGGATCCAGTTAGTGGGAGAGGGGGGCTGAATACTCCAACATTCCTGCAACTACTGCCTATATTTAGGGACTATTTCATCATGACTCTGTCAGGAAAGTAACAGCAGCTTCGTTGCCAAGAAGCCCAGCAGGAAACCACGCAGGCTTGCATCACCCAGCAAGAAGACCCCGGTCAGAACATCCTCCAAGTCATCACAGGAGAGTTCAGCCGGTCAAGCTAGACAAGGGAAGCGTGCTATGACTAGAGAGAGCCCATATGCTAGCCTAAGGTGAGGCCAAGGCAACTACATCCCTTTGGCAGTCTTACAAGGAACCTTCCTGAATCCTGTGAAATCCATCTCAGTGCTACAAACAAAAGACACATTGTCAGCTTTCATGGAGCTTCAAACAGTATTGAAGGTCGAGGCCCCTTAACCCCTTCATACCAGGAGGCATCCACAGACACGGCTTTGTGTGAGGATTAGTGCATACCACACAAACAGTCTATTTACCATGCAGCTGCTGGTTCAATGGGGCCTGCTGCTGGACAGAGCTTTGCATACTGGGCATACCACAACCCAGTAGTTATGGTCAAAAGAATCCAAGTGTGAAGGGGTTAAGACTATTACAGGACCCCTTAAGACCAACACAAGGTCAACGTAAGACCTCTAGTCTGAATTCAAGTCACAGGCTATTATAATGAACCGCAACAAAAGCATTCCTTTGTCATTATCAACCCTGTTCGTCGTGACTAGTCCTGTGACTGGTCTTATGACTTGTCTTGTGACTGGTCTCATGATGTACAGGACCACACCATTGTCATCAATCCCCAATTAAAGCACTGGTAGCTGGACTCTCTATACATCTGTTCAAGAGTCCTCTAAAATCATTCGTTGAACCTTGAAGGCTCTGAAGTGTAAGGATGAATGTGTTTACACCAATGTTAATATTACACTATTAAATTTTCCAAATTGTGAACTGATTGTAAAATTCTAAATCTGAATGAATTTTTCTGTTTTCTACCTGAAACCATATTTTGACACTTGATTTTCTTTTACATTTGAATGCTCTAATGCCATTTTAATCATCATGAGAATCATACAGACTGAAAATTACCATATACATGTAAAACTGTCAGAGTTAACTTGACCCTTGTTTGATGATCTTCGAAGCTTTTCATGGCGATGGTTGCAAGTAAGTTTAAAGGTTTGCAGTAGCACACTAACTGTGGATCCAACCTTGAGCACTTAAGCAGAACATGGGATGCTAGATAATCAGTGAGGTGTGTC